TATTCTCCTGTCACACTTACTGAATAGCTTAGCTAGGTACAGAATTCTAGGTTGGTGTTATTAGTTAAGAAATAGACCGCAATATACTAATTAGTTCAAACAAGACGAATTTACTTCTCTCTCATGTTAAGGATCCAGACGAAGCAGGCAGGGAGACAACTGCGCTTCACAAGGTTGCCCAGGCATCCAGTACCTTTTCAACTTATTGTCTCACCATTCCCTAGGTCAGCCCTAAGCCACCCTATCAGCAACATATTTTAATTCAAGCCCATACCAAAAGGATCATCATCCAGAAAGTTACCCATACTCTGCTCACATCCTATTGGCCCCTTTTGGGTGGAGTTATTTTCTAGTTCATCTTTTTAATCAGGGTGTTGTCTTTTTGGGTCTTAGTTTTACACAGGGGTCTAGATCCAATCTCCCACCATGTGAGAGCTCTGGGATTTGTCTTCTGTGTGTAAGACCCATAAATACCCCAAATTCCAGGCCCCAGGGATAGGCAGAGGACCCAGCAGAGCCTTCAGCTTCAGCCTTTGGTTACCTAAGGGCTTCCCAACACTCGGGAGTAGCTACAAAGCCTACAAAGCCCCAGATAATCTGGCCTTGCCCATCTCCCTGCTCACATCTCTTCCCCTCTCTCCCTCTCTCTCCTTCATATCCCCTCTGGCCTTCTTGCTATTCCTAGAGCTCACCAAGCTCTCTCCTACCTCCTGGCCTTTTCACATGCCTCTCCCTCTGCCTGGAAGACTCTTTCTCCAAATATCCATTTGGCTCACTCCCTCCCCTCATTCAGAGTCTGTTCAAATGTCTTCTCCTCTGAGATCTTCGCTGACCACCGTGAGCAAAAGAGCCACTCAACACTACCCCCTCACCCTGCCTTAACTTACCCTCAGAGCACTCGTCATTACTGACAGGGTATCTTATTTGTTTATGGTCTGACTCTCCTACTAGAGTGATTTGGGAAGTGATTCACAGGGAGTAGTTCTGAGAGAAAGAAAGTAAACAGGAAAGGAGGAAGAGTCAAAACAAGGATGCGTTATTCGGCCCAAATCCTTCCATCAGTCACTCCCATCCCCCAGGATTTTCTGAGGAGCCTAAGAAAGGTAGATTAGAACTGTCTGTCAGGTGGAGAGAGGGAAGCCTGAATGCCTCACTCACTATCTGTCTTGGTCAAGGGCGGCCCCCACACGTTTAACTCCACTGCACTTCTGGGTTGCACATGCGTCAGAGAAGCCCTGGGGCAGGAAGTGAGAGGCTCAGGTCTGAGGTGAGACCCTGTCATGTTGTCCCTGGGCAAAGCTGGTCAAAGCCTGAGCAGAACTGGTTGCCACAGGCAGTGGCTGGAGTAAGAGGTGGGGCCGAGAGGCTATGACCTAAGGATCCCCTTCACCACTCTTACCCGAGCACCTGGAAAAGTGGCCAGCACACAGTAAACATTCAGTGAATATCTGATGAAGGAATGAATGAATGGCACCACAATGTAGTGGGGAAAAGGCAAGTAGTAATGAATCAAGAAAATAAAGTGGGCTATGGGTTATATTGGGGTGAGTACAAGTTATCAGGGGTCCACAGCAGGGAGCCAATTAGTCTGCAGGAGGGCAGAGAGGGCTTTCTGGAGGAGATGGCCCATAAGCTGAAATCTGAAAGATGAGCAGGAGTTAATCACACAGATGATTTACAAAGCACTTGCACATCTGAGTAAAAATATCGGTGATAAAAATCATAGGTAACATTTACCAAGCTCTCCCCGTGCACTAGGGGCAATGGTGGTTCAGTGGCAGAATTCTCATCTTCCACGTGGGAGACCTGGGTTTGATTTGCGGCTAATGCACCTCATGTGCAGCTACCACCCTTTTGTCAGTGGAGGCTTGCGTGTTGTTATGATGCTGAACAGGTTTCAGTGGATCTTCCAGACCAAGACGGATAATGAAGAAAGGCTGGGAGAAATACTTCCAAAAATCACCCAGTGGAAACCCTATGGATCACAACGGTCTGATCTGCAACTGATTACGGGGATGTCACAGGATTGGGCAGCGTTATGTTCCATTGTACATGGGGATGCCATGAGTCAGGGGCCAACTCAATGGCAGCTAACAACATCTGTGCCCCAGACAGTGCTGAGTGCTTGAAGGGCCTTGTTATTTAATCCTTGTTATTTGCAGCATGTGGACTGTTAGATCCCTATTTCACCCAGGGGAAACCTGAAGCTCTGAGAAGTCTAGTGACTTACAGATAACAATTTCCCCTCATTTTATGCAGAGGTGACGAAGGCCCAGAACAGTGACTTCCCATGGTTACAAGTTAGTGGCAGAGCTGGGACTAGAACCCAGGTCTCCAGAATCCTGTTTGTGCTCCTGTTCCAGGGCTGGCCAGACAGTACAGTGGCTAAGCACGGGTTGGGGGGCAGGGGCAGGGTTGTGTGTGCACAAACTCAACACGGCCAGTCTGAGCTGGGCCAGTCTGAGCTGGGTGGCACTGCCTCCACAGTTATTACCAGAAGAAGCTGAAGGACGCCACCTGCAGGGCCCGAGAGGTAGAATCGGCCATAGGCCGGCTGAGGTCCCGGAGGAAGCTTCCCTACAACCCCCAGGAGGTAGACAACTTCGAAGTCCCAGAACGAAGAGTCCTGAGGATCCTGAGCCGGCTAAAGCAGCAGAACTACGGTGAGAGTCCTGGGCACGCTGGGCTGGGCTGGGAGCACTGCCCTCTTTACCCAAGTCTCCACACAGCCACAACCACGGTGTTGAGAGGCCTCCTGCTATCCCACTTTGGGCTCAACTGTATGTACCGGTAAAACAGGGCTGATAAACACTACCCCACATCCAGCCCCGTGGCAAAGCCCTTCTGCACAGGCCCTTTCTCCTCCAGCCTTAGCCCTGAGCATGGTCCCAAGAGCTTGGACTGAGAAGGGAGCAACCGGAAAGAGATTAACAATCACGGCTCACCTTTTAATGAGCACCCACTGGGGTCACTGTGTTAGGCCCTTTGCAGAATGCTGGAACGTACTCCTCACAACCACACATTTACCCCATTATGAGCAAACCGAAGCTCGAGAAGTTCAAGCAACTTGCCAAAGGCCCCACAGCTAGTTTGTCAGAAAGTTTATACCTAGATCTAACTCCCAAACCTGTGCTCTTCCCACTAGGCAAGGCTGCCCCCCATAATAGTAGGTACCATTTATTAGGCTCCTAAGTTGTGCTAAGTGATGGGCTAGGAGCTTTCCAGTCTCTCTAGAGCTGGGTAATTGAAGTCCATGAGTTGACCCTGCCGACTCTGCCAGGTCCCACTGCATAGATTTTGCTCCTTGTTAAACTGTTACTAGTCTTCACTCAGCCAAGTGTTTTGTATGTATTATCCCTTTAACCCTCCTCCTCAACTCTGTGAGGTGAGTACCACTATCATCTCTGGCTTATAAAGAAGTTAAGTGACTTGCTCAAACCCACCCAGCTCAATTATGTGGCAAGGCTGGGCACGCCCTAAAGCATTCTCCTCTCGTGCCTCCTTCTTGTTCGCCAGCTGCCAACCTGCAAAGCCCCTATACCCAAGTGCCTTGCATCCCCCTCTGCCCAAGGCTGGATAACAAGACGGTCCGCCGGAAGCAGGGCAGCCACTATGTGCTAGACCAGTGCACTGCCACCAACTTGGGCCCTGACACACGTAGCCTCTTCTGTCCAATGGGACCTCAAGGACGCAGGTGGGTGCCGAGAGAGCAAGGACCCCATCCCAGGCCCATCCAATTCCTTCCTTACATGATGGCTCCTGGCCTAATCCCAGGGAATCATCCTCCATGAAATAATGCCTGGGAGATTGCTTGCTCCAGGCAAGAGAAAAGGGAAAAGCCTGTGTACCAGGTAGAGGCTTTCACTGAAGTCAGGGTACTTATGCCTTCCTGTGTCCAGGACTCGGTGTCTTTAACCTAGGCTGCTACTACTCCCCTTTCTGATGCAGGCGGATGAACTCTGAACCCCTCTGCCCAAGTATGAGTCCAAGTTAGGAGTAGCGGGAACAAGCTCAGCAGCTGGGCCAAGGGATGCTTCCTGCAGCAGTCCCCTTCCAGGCACCTTGGGGGAAGAGCACTGGACTTAGAACCAAGCCCTCAAGACTGACGGCCGGCTCCATCACTTCTTGGGGTGGGGTGGGGGGGGGTGTTCTCTTCCCTTGGGCACATGGACTATGGCAAGAAGGCCAAATGTCCCCCACCCTTCTGCCCTGCCCCTTTGTCCAGGGAACACAGCTCTGACAGCCGGAAGTGGCTCAGCTCTGTGCCTGCGCGAACCCACTGACGTTCCAGAGTCCTGACTCTGAGGCAGCTCTTCAAGGCCTGCAGACAGAAGTTCCATCGGGGTGGGGGGCTGCTGCTGGATTTTGTTTTTGTGGCCTGGTAAGCCAATAAACACCATGAACCTCAGCGTCTGTGTCTGGTGCCAGCGAAGGCCTCCAGGTTTTCACCCCTCCATTGGGCTCTCAGAGGACAGGGCTCCAGCCTCTCTCAGGCTTGAGAACCCCTGAAGCAATACTTGCCTCAAAGCCCTGCCCCAGCTCTGCATGCCTGCTAGAGCTGCCCCCACCCTCTAAGGTGGACAGTCTTTACCTTCTGTGGACTCTCAAAGCAAAGCTGGGCCTCCCCTCAGAGAGGTGTCTCCCCCTCGGACTAGGAGCCCCACACTTGCTCGAAGGGAGTGGTGAACATCAGGGAAGTGCTTGGGAAAAACCCGTGGCCCCTTAACGGCAGATCCTGTGACCAAGCAGGCAGCAAGCAGCCTAGTCACTAGGCACATTCCCACCAACAGAGCCCCAGGACCCAGAGGTCTTCTTCCCTTGGAGTCCTAAAGGAGTGGGTCCTTGTCCCCCACTGCATGTACCACCGCAGGTCTCCTTCTGTAACAAAGAGAAAGAGGCTCTCCCTGGGATTGAGCACAGGTAGCTTCCTCGGTGGTTAAACAAGCAGCCACAGCAAGAGGTTAGCAGGCCAAGGACTGAAATGAGGACGGACAAGGCGCTGACAAGTTTAAAACATGTATTTAAAATACAATTTATAAAATGCTTAATCTGCCGACTCAGGAGCCCGCGGTGCGGGGTGGGGTGGGGGTGGGCAGCTGCCTGCTACACCAGCAGAGCAGGACTGCAGAGGTGCGGCCCTCCCTCCCATGCCCTTCGGATCAGACACCCAAGGGGCTCATGCACACCCCTGGAAATCACATGACCAGAAAACAAGACCCCAGAGGTTTCTTGAGTCTCTGCTTACCAGGGAGGCTGGATGTAGCCCCGCCGGCCCATCCCTGAGCAGAGCATGCCCAGATGGGGCAGAGCAGGGTATGGCTGGGCTGGACAGGGCAGGGCTGGGCAGGGCAGGTGGGCTCTGGAAGGGTCTGATGGTAGCAGATAGGGTGTTGCCTCCTGCCTGCAGGTGGGGAGCACCCTGATTGAATGGGCTGAGAAGGGTTGGTCACCAGGCCCAGACCCCCCCAGCTCCTTTGGTTATAGGCTGACATCAGAGTAGTGGCTCACGGGAAGCGGTTACCTGGAAGGTCTGAGGCCTGGATCGTGGGGTCAGGGAGAAGCTGGGGGAAGGGGACAGTACCATGAAGGCAGATAAAGGGGCAGCAGCCTCAGGTTTCTGCCCCCCACCCCCCTGAAGTTTTCCAAGCCAAAGCCTGCAGCTTACTTTTAAAAAAAAAAAAAAAAAAAAGCACTTAAGGAGAGTTACAGACAACTACAAAAACAAAACAAAACAAAACAAATCCAAACCGTTCTCCCATCTCCCCTCCCGCCTCCCCCCAACACATCAGTTTCCTGTTTTCTTTTTCCTGCCTGCCACCTCTCAACCTGGGAAGCCAGAGCATGACTGCTGGTGGGTGTGACGGGCACACAGTGGGCAGAGCCCCATCTTTGGCCGTAGGGAGGTGGGCGCACCAGTCCTTGCCATATCCTCAGTCTGCAGACACCCGTCAGCGAGTCCTTCCTTTGGCTCCCACTAGGGGAGGGGGGCCAATGAACAGGTGGTCCCAACGGCTGAGCAATCAGCACCTCTGGTCTTCCCACCTGGCCTACCTCTGCCACTGAAGGGACAATCTCGCCTTGGCCCAGAGACCACTATTACATAAGGAATAGCCAAAACCACACATTTTAGAATGCAGAAGCTTGGTCAGGGCAGTGGAACTATAAAGATAGCAGCCAACGTTCTCCCTTGCCCACTGTGGTGGTAAAATTCCCCCTTAGAACAGCTGTGGGCATTACTCAACCACCAGTGGGCTCTCACAGACTGAGCTCGGTTCCAGCTGTGCTCACAATCTCCTGGCTTCACACAGTTTTAAAGCTGTGCTATGCTCTACTTACTGACTCAACTGGCCAGCCCTTCCTCCTACAGGGAGGTGTGGTGGGACATGGCTAGCCGGGCCTGGCTTACCATTCCCACAGGGCAAGGCTAAGCCAGGTAAACCAAAGGCAGAGTGAGCCTGCTAAACCTAGCTTGCCACCTTGGCCACCACCACGAGCTGCCCTAATTGCAAAATGTCACACTAACCACTCCACAACCCACCTGCTGGGTGGGAGTGAGGAGGCTGCCTGGCTGGCTGAGGGATAAGGCGCAGTGCAAGAGAAGAGGCCAGACAGCCTGAGAAGAGCCAGACGGCACACATCACACAGCTGCTCTGGGCAGCTGTCCTCTTTGCCTCTTCCACCCCAAGGGCAAGGCAAATCTCCAGGTTCAAGGGACGGAGGAAAAATGCCTTCATTCCAGACCCTTGCTCTGGAAAAAGGGGTGAAGGGTAGGTAGCCTAGGCCTCTGGGGAACCAGTCTGTCATAACCAATCTTTGCAATGCAAGGCTTTTCCTTTCATCCCAACTGTATTCAGAATGGTTTGCTCCCAAGGTACTGATTTCAAAAAAGAAGGGCACCAGGTATAGTTACTGAGCCGGTGCCATCAATGGAGACGGAGCACTACAGACCCTGGGGAGTTCAAGCCTTGCTATAAAGGAAGATCTACTCACCTTCTGGCCACACTAGGCAGAAGGCTCAGAGTTCTGGAGCCTGACTCTCTTCTGGTTTTCCTCATGCTGACACAAAATACTGAACAAGCCTCACATCTCTTACTTTTGAGCCCAGGAGTGCAGAGTATCACTCTCTGACACTGGACTCTCTTCTGGAAGTAGCAAGCCTGGCTGGTAGGGAACCACCCTGAGGGGTATGGGAAGGGGAAGTCTGTTCACTTTCCCTATCTCCCAAAATACTAGAGGTGGGGTTGGCACCCTCCCCAGGCTCTCTGAGCCTATAGAGCTAGCCCAGTCTCTAGGCAGGCCAAGATGCCCTGGAACTTAGCTGGGGGAGGGAGGTATAGGCATGGGTACTCATCTGTCCTGTGGGCTGTGGAGCCCTGCCCCTTTTCTGGGCGGCAGTAGGAATACAGAAGAAGCTAAGCTCACCAAAATCCTATTGGTTAATGTTTCTAGCGAATTTCCCAGAAACATTTTTAAGTAGACTACCAAACTACCCTTTCTCAATTAAAAATTCATTAAAATGCTAAAACTCCTCCCATGCACTTTTTCTTGCAAATCAGATTATTTGTATAAACAAACAAAAATGGGGGGGTGGGGAGAAAGGATATTTTCAAATGGAACTTGCTTTTAAAGTGATGAAGACATGCACTTGGGGGGAGGTTCTCATCTGTGTTTTGAAATCCCAAATTAATGAGCATGATAAACTGTTATTGCTGGCACTAGCTTTATCCCAAGCAGCACTGTCTGATTCTACTCTGAGTCCTCGGTGGGTCCCCCCAACCCTCCCCTAGCCCTCACCCTTTCCCTTTCCACTGACTTGGGACAGCCCTTGTCGACGTGCCAAACACAGGGGGAAGGGGGGCAGGGGGGGAGGTCACAGTGCATGGGGTTCAAGGTCACAGTGGGCGGAGCAAGGGGGATCACAGTGCAAGTAAGTCAGGTCGTTCCCTCTGCTCAAGTCCAGCTGTCTGCCACAGCAGTGCAACCCGTGGCAGACGACCCAGGAGGCGGTGATGGCAGCAGTGGTGGCATCCTTTCTTGCCCACATTTATCTGCGCTGTTTGAAGCCTTGTGACCCATCAGGACCCAGGGGCTGTCTGATCACATTATTGGGCTGCCTGCTGTCTTCGGGCTGAGAGATCCTGGTTGGCCTGAACGGAAGAAAATCAGAGGAAGGCCTGAAAAAAGATATAAAAGATGTCCCCAAATCTCAAAACCAACCACCCTTGCGGCTGAGGAAGAGTCATGGTGGCTACCAGCCAACTCTGGCTCCCTCAGCCTGCTCCTCTGACAAGCAGACAGAGGGCATCTCCAAGTTGGGAGGTCCCTATAGGCAGGTGGGGCTGGTGGTTCATGTCCACCTCTAGCAGCTGCAACTTCTTGCCTCCAGAGGCAGTGACCAAGGACAGCACATCTGCTACAGAACCTAATGGCACAGACTCTCCAGTGTCGGGTCAAGGTCAAGACCCCTAACCAAGAACTCAGCAGAGTGACAAGACACCCACCGCTCTGCCCTCTTGCTTCTCTCCAAACTATGTTGTTAACGATTGACTCATATCACTATGGAAGACTAAAGGAAATGGACTTTTTTCACTCTGGAAAGATGGAGGGTTAGAGGAGAGATAATGGATGTCCATCAAATGAAAGGAGACTTGGTGGCATAGTGGTTAAGAGCTCGGCTGCTAACCAAAAGGTTAGCAGTTCGAATCTACCAGCCATTCCTTGGAAACCCTATGGGGCAGTTCTACTCTGTTCTATAGGGCTGCTATGAGTCGGAATCGACTCGACAACAATGGGTTTGGTTTATCAAATGATGGGATAGAAAGAAGGTACATAGATTAGCTTCTCCAAATCCCAGAATCCCAAGCCAAAGAGGCCGTTCAAAGTTAGAAAAAGGCTGTTTTTGAAAATACTGTTTTACTACCAGGAGGTGACAAACTTACATAACATAATCTCTAGGACCACAGAGAAAAAAATGCCAAGTCAAAAAGAATTTAGCAAATCCACAAAAACATCACAGTGGGATATTGTTAACACCCAGAAGATAACAATATGTAAGCACTCACTGAGCACTTCCACTGTGCAGGGCAGGGTTCTCAGCACTCTATACTCATTTAGTCATTTGATGGCACAACAACTTGGCAAGACAGGTATTATCTCCATTTTTCAGATTAGGCAACTAAGGCAAAGAGAGGTTAAGTAGCTAGTAAGCGGCAGAGATGAACTCAAACCTTGCAGATTCTGACTACAGAGCCCAGGTCTTTAACCTGTAGAACAGCATGCCAGCAAATCAGGACTTCCTCAAAGCCCCCTCTAGGGCTTTCGGAGTGGCCCTGGTCCCTGAGCCAATGTAGTGAGACAATTAACTAGCCCAGCCAGGCTGGGACTGGCAGCTGAAGCTGTGATGGTTCCAGCCCTAACTGTGCCTGCTTCTCATTCCTCTCTATGAAGACAGACTGCTTTCCTCCTCCGCAGGGTGGACTGCTGGAGTGGTCTCTGGTCAGCTCTTCCAGCTACACTCACCTGTCGAGGATGGGTTTCTCCTGCTCCTCCTCAGGGCTGGCGCTACCCAGGATCCGCTTCCGGGCCTCGGCGTACTCCGCCTCCCGCTGCGCTAGGGACTTGACCGGAAGGGCTGGCCTGCTGGTGGAGTTGGGGCTGCTGACCACACCGTTGCTGGTGGGCCTCTTGAGGATGCGGATCTGTGGAGGGGGCCCCGTGGGAAGGCTATCGTCCTGAATCACAATGGGCACTCTGGGAGGAGATTTGGATTTCCTGCTGACAAAGAGCAAACACAGCTTCACAAATCCTGTTCCTTGATGACAGAGGCCCTTCCACGCCCCACACCCACCCTTCATCACTTTCCTCTCCCTCCCCTTCCTAATTCCATTCATTATTTTCTGGCCTCTGACCAGACATATCAGAACTCTCACTCCTTAAAGAGTTTCTCAAAAAAGCAAACATGCCACAAGCTCACGGAGTCCACAGGAACTGATCCTCAGACCTACCCCTGGCAAAGGGGGCTGGAATGCCACCTCATTCTGGGACTTCTATCCCCATGATCATTAGTCATGTCAATCACTGTTTGGCCCCTGCGGCAAAACATTTCACGTCCAGTATCCAACGACTTCAGTTAAGACCCCAGCTTCCCTACACAGACCACAAGGTAACAGGCTGGTGAGGTGGGAGCCCCTTAGCTTGGGGTCAGCAAAGTGCTCACTCCCAGCCAACACCTTCCACCACGTGTGCTCAAACCAGTCTAACACTACAAAGGTGCCTGTACCGCCATGCCAATCTGGCATGAAGACAGGATTTACCAAACTGACTCAGCCTTCTGGTGAGTATGAGGCCTGTGCCTCCCAGAGACAAGGCCACGCCAGACAACTGAATCATCTCTTCAATAGAACTCACAAGCAGAGAAACCTCCCTCATCAGGACTCTGGTCTGTTTGACAGCGGCGGGGCTAGGGGGAAGGACGATCCTAGAGACAGTGGTTGGCAATGCTCACGAGGGAAGCACTGTCCAAGGCTGGTGATGTGTTCACCAGAAAAGGTGGAATAAAAAACCCACAGTGTCTACCAGAACAAAGAGGCATAAACAACACAGGAAGGGAAGGAAGAAGCCACAGGAGGAGAAAGGGATCCAGGTGGGAATGACCACCCCACAAAAGCTACAGGGAACCCTGCCCAGAGCAGTCAACCAGCTTCTCTTCAGAAGCAAAGAGGCCTAGAGGAGCCTGTTTTCAGAGCCTTGCTGTCAGATGGGGCAGGGACTGGAGGAACTTGGCTGCTACCCAGGTAAGTTAGAACAGGTCCTGGGCAGGCCAGGGATGGCATGGAAAAATGGACTGTAATCAGAAGTTAGTGTCACCACTGAGACGAGCAGGCAGACAAGCAGCCAGCAAGCTGATCAAAGAGGCAGGGAGCCAGGAAAGCTAGCGGGTGAGCAGGGCATTCCAGAGTTCCCTGGGGGATGACTGTGCAGCCCATTATGCAAATCAAGACAGGCCTTATCCCCCTCCTCCTTGCTGCTTGTCGCTGTGGGAAGCCGACAGGTTACCTAAGCCCAAAGACAAGACTTCTGAAGTCAACTTTCACCTGCTCTGGAAACTCACTTCCTCCACTGTCTGGATGGGTAACAAAGCTATCCTTAAAGGTCGTCCGAGAATTTTTCTTCCAGGATACTCCCATAACACCCTAAGATACCAAGTCATGGAGAGCACAAATAAATTATTTGTCCAACCAACTATGTCACAGATAAAGAAATTGAGGTCCAGAGGAAGAAACAACTTGTTCCAAACCTCAAAACAATTAGGGCCTGAGCCAGGCCTAAAACCCAAGTTTTACGACTTGTCGCTGCTCCCCTTTCCATCAGACCACCTCACACAGGGGCCTACTAACGTAGGAGGCAGGTGCAACACCCCAGTCTCACACCTAAAGCCTCAAGCCATCACGTCCTGCTCTCCCCCTCAGAGGGAAAGGTTTGCTGCCCAAAGGAGGCTGCCCTGCTGAACCTGTGACCAGCTGGAGCACACCATGACTGCCCACTAACTGCCCAGCTCTCAGACGGCAGAGAGCATGAGCCCTCAGACCACACAGCAGCCTTACCTCTCCTTTTGTGTGATCTTCAGTTTTTTTTCCAACCGTCTGTCTATTTCCTAGAGGAAAAAAATGTATATAAAAAGTGGAAAAAAAATCTCTCTCAAATAAAGCTTACATCTTTATTTTCAGAGCTAAGGGCAATGTCCTCTCTCTCGCCAGGAACATGACTGTGTCTTTTGAGGTAATGACATGGACCTTCCTTTACTGGATGCTGGGGTTGGGGACCTGGCTCCCTCTGCGAGTCCGTCTCCCTTCCGTCTCCACGGCCACAGCAATTGTTCTAGACCTCATCGTCCAGCTGGATTCTTGGCAGAGCCTCCAACTAGTCTTCTGGCCTCCAATTTCCCCCTTCCAAACTGTCCTTCAAGAGTCACTCAAATCAGTTTTCTAAACACAAATCGGATGGTGTCACCTCCCTGCTTAAAATCCTTCAACTGCTTGCAGGATCAAATCCAAGCTCCTTGAAAATGGCTTTACCCACATCTTCTGTTTTATGCTACAGCAATACTGAGCTGTTACTAACGCCAGAACCCAGTGTGCTGTTCCACTGACTGCAATGTCCTCCTGCCTTGCAAACTCCTCTTTATCCTTCAAAATCTAGCTTGGACATCTACCACCTATTCAGTGAAGTCTTCTCCGATCCCACAGGCACAGTTAATCACCTGCTCCTCAAATAAGCTTTCTCTTTTACAATCCTTCATGTTCACATGTATGAATTATTTTATTTCTTTACTGTTATGGACTTGAACTCTCTGTGACTAGCACCTGCCAGAAGGCCTAGAATTAAACAGGAGCCTAATGTTTGAGGGTCTGGCTGGGCAGTCTGAGCCCTCAGGCCTTCAGCACCAGGAACACCTTGATGCCTCCACATACTCACGTGCAAGACTCCACACACTGGACTGTGGCAAGATGTGCACAGACCAAAGACCAAACCTCTAGACTCCTTGGCTGTCCCACTGCTTTTCCTTAGAAAATGCCCCACTCTCTCAACCATCTTCAGTGAGGACAAGACAACTTAAGCTACTGCAGAGGGGAGAAATCATATGCAGAATCATGTGTTTGTCTGGAGGAAATCTTTAACGGTGGTTCTCATTAGGGGTGGGGAGTGATTTTGCCCCCCAAGGGACATCTGCAATGTCTAGAGACACTTTTGGTTGTCACAACTAGTGGTAGGGTGGGAGTGTTACTGGCCAGGGATGCTCCTAAACATCCTACAATGCACAGAATATCCTCCCCACCTGCCACAACAAATAATTATCTGGCCCCAAATGACAATAGTGCTGAGGTTGAGAAATCTTGATTTACAAGATGGATGGGATTTTTCAAAGGGGTCCATCAATTCACAAAGCGTTAAGAACCTTGGTAAGTAACAAGGCTTTGAAATTTGCCAAGATATGCCTAACAGCCAAGTGTGACAAGTGTGTGCTGAAAACTGCATTCTATAATTGATGAGTACAGGGTTCTGTAGATGCATAAATTAGTTCAAGCTGATAGTGTTCAAGTCTTCTAAATTCTTACAGATTATTTTGTCTGATCTACTGACTACTGAAAGAGTCAAAATTCTTTCTAGTAAATTAAACAGTTTATTATAAAATAATCTTCTTTGCCTTAAAATCTACTGTCCAATATTAGTAAAGCTATGCCAGCTTTCTTTTGGTTAGTATTTCCTTGAACATGTTTTCCCCATCTTTTACCCCTCACCTTTTTATGTCCTTACTTGTGTCTCCTGTAAACAATATGAAACCATACGACACACTCATTCTGACTGGTGCTGAGTTGTGTTTAAATTTTTTGTTTTCATGCAAGACCCAAAATATATTTCAGCAAACACAGCATACTGTATTCTGAAGGCACCAGCGAGTCTGGTGGGGCCGGGAAGCCCATGAACAAACCTCTCATTAGCCGAACTTGAGAGGTCCCATCCAGGTTTCCTCTCAGGACAGCAAACTGCATCCTCTTTCTCTTTAGTGAATCTGTGTCCAGTCCCAGCAAATGCAGCCTGGGTGGGGAAATGCCCTTCGAGAGGACATTATGGGCCATGTCTGAGTAACTGTGTCTCTGTCCTCAAACTAGAACATAACCAGCACACTTGGTATATCATATAATACTACTGGTTTTTAAAATAATGCCTTAAATCAATATAGTACTTTGTGGCTGTCAAAATACTTCCAAACACTCATTTTCTCCTCACACCAGCCCTGTTTGATAACGTAGCTTTTATCCCTCCCTGTCAGATGAGGGTAATGTGGCTCAGAGAGGTTAAGGAATATGTCCAAGTTTACAAAGTAGTAAACTGTACAGGCAGCCCTAGAGCTAAGGCCCCATCCCATGCTGTTGTACCCCACAATTGCTCAAATCCCTGGGAATGCTGGTAAAAACCACTAGATATTGATCCTCTCTCCTTCACCTCCCAATTCCACACTGTTCCCTGCCACTCCAATAAGTAACACTCCCATCAAACTCTGTCACATCAGGCAGGACTATTTTATCAGACCTGGGGAGGGATTCCTCCATCAGATTAGAGAACGGGATCTAAATCCAAGCGGCTTTGGTGGAAAGCTGATCCTGGCTACCTCCAGATGGCCAGCTGGACCCCAGCATGCTCAGAACTGTCCAGGCAGGAGATGGTGTGCTCTGCCAGTAGCTGAGAGGACATTGAATATTGCTCTGGAGTCTGTCCAGGTATCATGACTCAGTCCATTCTCTCCTCAGATACGGCCTTGAAATCAATCCACTCAGACTCATGCTCTGAAAAGCTTGCCCATGTTGAACTTCCCTACAGAGCGCAGTACAAGGAGAATGCTTGTCTCCTCCAGAGATGCACTTTGTTGTTTTGTTAGTTGTCATCAAGTGGATTACGACTCATGGCGACCCCATGAGTGCAGAGTAGAACTGTGCTAGATAGGGTTTTCAAGGTTGTGATCTTTCGGAAGCAGATAGCCAGGCCTGTCTTCTGAGGCACTTCTGGGTGGGTTTGAGCTGCCAACCTTTCGGCTACTAGTCAAGCGCTCAACCATTTGCGCCATCAACAGATGCACTACCCATTGCCATCAAGTCAATTCTGACTCATAGCAACCCTACAGGACAGAATAGAACTGCCCCATAGGATTTTCAAAGCTGAAATCTTTACAGAAGCAGACTGCTGCTACATCTTTCTCCCACAGAGTGGCTGGGGTTTGAACCGCTGATCTTTCGGTTAGCAGCTGAGCACTTAACCACTGCGCCACCAGGGTTCCTAGAGATGCACTACCCCAATGGAATTAAACAGGCCTCAGAATTTTGTGAGAGGAAGCATTTAATGAGGACCTAAAACAACAAACCTTATCACCTAAGGGCACCTCCTTTTTTTTCTTTTTTTTAAATTACAATTGTGCAAGTTAGTATGTTAGAGTTTCCTGTCTTGGAGGGCTAACCTCCATGGCTACTGAAATAAACCCCATAAGCTAATCACTCCATGACTGCAGTGAGCAAGGAAGGGTCACAAGGGCAGAAGGCAGACATTAGGACACAAGCACATCAGAGTGGAATTGCTAAAGAAAGTTTTCCTATGGCTTCTCCTGACAGAAAGGCTTTTTTTTTTGCTAAGTAGCACCTAGCAGATTCCAGAAGATGATACTCTGTGCTCTGATAAGAGGGGTAGCTCCTCTCTTTGGGGTCCAAAGCCTAAGCAAAGAACTGTCGTTGCCAAACACAGGTATCACCCTCACCCTTACCCTGTGGGACTACGTCTCTAGAAAACTGAGCTGTGGGCTTCTTGGTCTTTGACAACAAAGCCAGAAGGAAAGAGTGGAGGCAGAAGTCTTGGAGAACCAGTTGGGGTGAGTGTCGGGGAGAGATTCCGGACAGGGCTGGTCCTTTATGGGAGGGATAAAGGAGACACTACAACCACAAGGTGAATGAAATCAGACATCTGCAATGAGGCAGAGAAGTCACTGGCTGCTGATGCAATGATGTACTGTGTGAGCCCTGGCAGAAAGTTGGGAGATGGAGGCATGTGACTATACTAGGGATAAGATCATTCCAAATGGGACACCTCAAACTGCCTGTTACACAGTGGTATGGATTGAATTGTGTCCCCCCAAAAGCTATGCTGAAGTCTTAACCCCGGATGTGTGAATGTGATCTTGTTTGCAAATAGGGTTTTTCTTTTGCTATCAGGCCATACCAGAGTAAGGTGTGTCTCATAAAAGGGGAGAACAGATAAGGAGACAGAGTCACACGGTGGGTGGGGGGGGGGGGATGACGACATGTGAAGATCTCTTATACAAGCGGCAAAGGAACTCCAAGGATTGCAAGCAGCTACTAGAAGCTAGGAGAAAGGCATGGAACCCAGCCTCTCTGAGCCCTCAGAAGGAATCCAAACAGCGAGTGATACACTGATTTGGACTTCTAGCCCCCAGAACTGTAAGACAATAGATTTCTGTTCTTTAAAGCCACCCACTGTGAGGTATTTGTTATGGCAGTCCTAGATAACTAACACACACAGTTACGATCTAAGAAAGGAACAAAGGAAACAAACAGGACAGGGAGCTTCCGCAAGAAGGGGAGGCAGATAACAATGGCAGGGTCACTCCTGTAACTTTAACAGGTAGATGAGAAAGGGACCAAGAAAGGTGAGAAGGGAAAAGGAGAGGAAGAAAGGAAGAGGAAAGAAATAAACAGGCTATTCTGGGTGTTGGTGCAAAATACAGCACCATCACAGCTGTACTTTCTCAGACTTCCTCAATTCACATACGGGTGATACAGGTCTGGGGGATTGATTCCAAACAGCCAAGCTCAGAGAAGACAGTGATAACAAACCCGAACGCTCACTGTTAACCTTTCTGGTGCATGACCTGCTGCTGCCTGCTCCCCAGAGCCTTCCTTTCTGGGGCTGAAGTAATAGTTCCTTCTGGTGCCTCAGTACCCCAGCCAAAGGAATGAATTGTCCTGCTCCACCACTGCATTGCTCTCTCTACATTATAATACTGTGGTCACCAATGCAACCAAAACACAACTAAGAATTCAAGTAATCTTGCATTAAACAGAGGCTAAAGAGGCACCCTTGGTTCCTGGC